GAAAAATATTTTGAATTCTATTTGTGAAGGACTTTTTGCTGCAGACGGAAAACAAATATGTTTGAATGCTTCAAACTCCAAGAAGACCTTACAGATCGTTGCTAACAATATTCGAAACGACATAACAGCAGAAGTGAAAAATAGACTGTTATCGTTAAAAATAGACAGTGCTACGCGGTTATGCCGAAATATTTTTTTCATTAGTGCACAATTTGTAACAAATGGGCTGTTAAAATCACGCGTTCTAGGAATGGTAGAATTGAAGGGTGCTAGATCGAGTACTAGCAAAAACCTAGCCATGAAAATTATAAAAACCATAAAAAAATACGACATTACTTTAAGACAAATAGTGTCAGTTACATCGCATAATGGCGCAAATATGCTTAAAGCAACTAAAATATTATCTTTTGTTTCACAAGAAGAATTGGAAGAAAATGAAGCAGATTGCGCGAATGATGAGTATCTTAAAAAAATCGAACTTGTTGAGGAAATGCCAGATATGCTATTGGGCGATATTCAAGTTTGCCGTTGCACTGCTCATACTGCACAGCTTTGTGCGCTCGASGTAACAAAATCCTCAGCTATAACAAAGTACCTATTAACATGCCGTAATTTGACAAAATATGTGAGAAAAACAACAAATGGATATCGAGCTATATTTGAATTAAGCAATTAAAGATGCCTCAACTAGATTGCCCTACAAGATGGGTATCGACCTTCGTAATGGTGGAAAATTTGAAGGAAACAAAAGACGTTCTAAAAGAAATCGAATCCGTTAAATATAAGACCGAAGATGAAAATTTCGAGTTAGAATACTCCCTTTGGGAAATCGTTGAAAGCTATTGTCTTGTATTTAATCCATTACAAAAAAGCATAAAAATATTTCAAGAAGAACAATTACACTACGACAACTTCTATGCACAATAGCTCAAGTGCAAAATATGCACGGAAAATATTATTAAAGATACGAACCACCCACTAGTTAAAACACGTTAATGCACACACACAGTTTAATTGTTTGTATTTAGATCATCGGTTTCATCACACCTTAACGGTAAAACAAAAAATCGAAGMAAGACAATATTTAAAAAAAGTATGGGATAGAATTAATGAAATTAACCCTGGTAAYATCACGTGTTTAAGTCCAAATTCAAGTGTACATCAATACGGCAACCAATTTWGTGATATTGAAGAGAAATTATTAACCGAATATTTATCGCAAGGAATTGAAGCGAACGTAAATAATGCATCCGATGTCTATACAAAAATAGACAATCTGCAGCTTCCGTTTTTAAGAAGTGACACAAATATCCTATCATTTTGGAAGGAAAAGCAGTTCACTGATCCCGACTTGTACTCGTTAAGCAATGTGTGCTTTGCAATACCACCCACTCAGGTATGTACATACATGTAAACGTAAMATAAYTTTTATTTTTGTTGTAACGTAAAACTGAACAAATGAATCGATTAAGTGAGGAAACACTGGAAAACATATTGCTAGTAAAGCTAATAGTGGGATTCTGTAATCAGTCTCTATTTGAGACATTTTGTGGTAAAATCTCAATTTGTGACTAGTTACTATTCACTAAATAGTCTCTAGCTTTATAGCGGGATTCTGTAACCAGTCTCTAGTCTCTATTTGAGACATTTTGTGGTAAAAT